ACTCATCTAGAAAAGGATCAGTCCTCAAGTCAAGTCCCTCTAAACCCCTATGTGCATGCACGATCAGTTCAGTAGCTTAGGGCCTGGAAAGCTGGCCGCAGGGATGGGCCTGCATGCTCCTGAGCAAGGTCTAGACTGGACAGTTCAAGAACAAGCTCTACCATTTTTTCCTTGATTATTATTTTTTTCCCCAATAATGCCTGTTATCCCAAAAGGGTGGACATGGACTCTGGGGAACATGGGTGGAAAGGAGACAGAACTAAGGTTGGGCAGCTGGCAGTGGGGGACAGAAGCGACATCAGACTTGGTATGAGTAAGACTGTTTCAGCAGCCACTTGGGGCCTTCACCACCGTCCACTGATGGCTGGTCTCATTCCCTAGTGCTCTGCCAGAATGGCAATCAACAGAAACTCTCTCATATGTTTGCTGTGAGAATTGTGATGTCGGTACAGCATTGAACAGACAAGAGAATCTTCCATTTGTACAGACCACCACTTAAGAGTTTATCGTATATACCCAAGGATAGTAGAAGGACCAGGAATATAGCTCATGGTTTAGAAGCCTCCCTCATGAGCTGGAGTTGAAGGCAGCTGGAATAGAGAAGGGATCACTAAGTCAATGATGGTTAGAGGGATCGATCGGGATGGGAGATGTATGCTGAAAGTTAGATAAAGGACCAAATGTGGTAGCCTCTCAGTATTCATATTGTAAACGTAATGCCCAGAAGTAGAAAGAGAGTAAGGGGGAATGGTCTGCCATAGAAGCAGGGGGAGTGGTGGGATGGGGGTGCAGATACTGGGGATACTGGTGGTGGACAATGTGCACTGGTGGAGGGATGGGTACTCAATCACTGTATGACTGAAACTCAAATATGAAAGCTTTGTGTTGCTCACGGTGATTCGATTTTTAAAAAAGTAAAAAAATAGTTTATCATATAAATTAAGATTTGTTCTAAACAAAGTGAGGAATGATATAACTTGTCAAAACCAACCTCATTCTGCCTAAAGAGATCCAGTGTGTTGATGGAGATGGCCATTTCTTTCCCCATACTGTTATATTTAGCAGGGCTGGAGAGATAATACAGGTAAGGCACCTGCCCTGCATGTGTTTGACCCTGGTTCAATTCTCAGTACCACATTTATGGTCCCTTGAGTACTGGGTATTGCTGAAAAACAAACAAGAAGAATTTAGCAAATTGTCTTCAACTTAATGCTGTGAGGAAGTAGATTTCTCAGTGAATACAGGGCACATAAGACCCCCTCCTGCAAAACTAACATTAACCAAGGGTTGCTGTGCTGATCCATTTGCTGTGGGAAACCAGAATGTTTAGAGAAAAAAACTTGTTGAAAATCTGTCAAAACTTATTAATAGTAAAGGCATCTTAGAAAGGGAATATCCAATGTTGGTAGAATGAAGAGAGACCAACTGTACAAAGCTGATGGACTCAAATTAACACAATTCTCTGGGAAACAATTTGGTAATATACATCAAAGTCCTCTTAGAAATATGCACAGCCTTTGATGTTTGCCCTAAGGAAAGAATGAGTCAGGTCCCCAAATCTGGCAACAATACCTTCCCTGATAAATTTTAATACTGAGAGGGCTCAAAGGGTTGAACACATACTTTGCATGCAGGGGCCCAGGATCCATCTGAGCACTGCATGGTCTCCTAAGCTCTGCTGGGACTCACTCCTGAGCACTGAGCCAGGATTAACTGTTGGGAATGACCCAAAAATACAAACTATTTTTTTTAATTCTAACACTGACAATCAGAACCCAAAGGAATAAAAGGGCTTAGAAAAATAATTCATGGTACATATAAATTTAACATATAGCTACTACTATAGAATATTTAGAAACATGGGAAGCTCAAGATATTGATAACGCTAAAAAGATTCAAACTATTGAAACTTTCAGTGGCAAGTAGCAGAAAACTAAACTAGTGCAGAGAAGAGTACTATCAAGATAATGAGATGAAATACGGGAGGTGGGCAGGTCCCATGACAGTAATGGAGATATTAAGGTTTTTTTTTCTTTTTTTGGGTCACACCCGGCGATGCACAGGAATTATTCCTGGTTCATGCACTCAGGAATTACTCCTGGCGGTGCTTGGGGGACCATATGGGATGCTGGGAATCGAACCTAGGTCGGGTGCGCGTAAGGCAAATGCCCTACCCGTTGTGCTATTGCTCCAGCCCCGATACTAAGGTTTTTGCATATCATTCATCCAACTTCTCTTTGCATGTATACTTCATTCCCATTACCAGTCAGCTTCCTTGTGACTCCCCTTGTGACTCCCTCCTCAGAGCTCCTGCTCTGAAACAGCAGCAGTTCTGGGAAATTAATACAAAGTTAAAAAATGATGAGCCAAGCACAAGTCTTTTTTTTTTTTTTTTTTTTTGCTTTTTGGGTCACATCTGGCGATGCACAGGGGTTACTCCTGGCTTTGGACTCAGGAGTTACTCCTGGCAGTGCTCAGGGGACCATATGGGATGCTGAAAATCAAACTCAGGTCAGCTGCATGCAAGGCAAAAGCTCTACCTGCTGTACTATTGCTTCAGCCCCAAGTACAAGTCTTCTAAGATGAGATGACAACTAGTACCATTGTAGTCCTAAGGAGTTCTAAGAAATGGGGATGGTGAGAGCCAGATAACTAACCCTGCGGGATACCTTCCAAGGCTGTAAGTGGAACATCTGATTTTCCAATTTTAGAAGAGTTGTCTTCATGGAAAAGATGTCCTGAAGATATTGATCTACATTTAATAGGAATATATAAACCACATTTTAGGGTATAAACTTACTGGTATACATTTACCAGCAATTACCTTTTGCTGATATCTTCCATTATATATACTAAAATGTGTACTAACTTTATAAACTGAAAGTTAACTAAGGGTTGGGGAGATAAGGCTCAAGTGCATGCCTTGCAAATATCTCGAGTTTAATCCCCAGCACTGCAGTCCCTCAAGCCTCACTCGTACCAGCCCCAAGAGCCAGGAGCAGCATCACATTCAAACTGCAGCACTAAACGTCCACCCTACAGTGGGGGCAAATATTGTCAGGTTTAGTCTCCAAGGAGGTACCCCAAAAAAATTTACTTGAAAAAAAATAAACTGTTGGGTCGTTATATATTGTTAAGAGAAGGAAAAGAGGCTTCCGACAATCCACAATGTGGGCTGGGGAGATGGTGGTAAGGGCTGAAGCTCAAGCTCTTTGCACGCCAGATTCTCAGGCAAGATCCCAGGCACTGCAGGTCCCATGAGCACCTCTTAAAGAAAAAATAAAATAGGTTTTAATTGCAGGAAGTTTCAGCTACACCATTAGCCACACTAAGCCCAGACCCATGAGCTGAAAAGCAAATGAAAATTTGTATTATTATAAAATTTAACACTCATTGTACTGTTCCACAGTGGTTCCCATATCCCTGGTGATTTAACAGTGTAAACAGTGCTAATAAAACTTGCACAGGTTGAAAGCTTTACCTTAGCCAAAACACAAAGTTGTAGAGATAAGACCGAGAGGAAGGGTAAGAACACACAAGCAGTGTTGGCCAGCCAGGGTTCCTCGAATCTTTATAATAACAACAGTTGCATTTATCCAGGATAGATGCAATGCCTGGTTAGGAAATTTCTATAAAGGTTACCAAGGATCTATCAAGAACAAATAAAAAGCCCCATTTTGTAAATGTTCCCTAAAATTCTAATAGAAATCCTCCATGTTCCTATTTTTTTTTTTTTTTTTTGCTTTTTTTTGGGTCACACCCAGAGATGCACAGGGATTACTCCTGGCTCTGCACTCAGGAATTACTCCTGGCAGTGCTCAGGGGACCATATGGGATGCTGGGAATCGAATCTGGGTTAGCCCCATGCAAGGTAAATGCCCTACCCATTGTGCTATTGCTCCAGCCCCAATTCTCCATGTTCTTAATATTTGTAACAACTTCAATGTTTTTAAATATATTATTCTGCTCTAAGCAAATATACTGTGGCACTTAAAATTATTGAAGGTAGTTTAATTTTAATCCAATTTTCTTATCTCTCTGGGTAATCACATAGAATCAACAAACTCATTTAAATATATACTTTTTTTGGGGGGGGGTCATACCTGGCGATGCACAGGGGTTACACCTGGCTCTGCACTCAGGAATTACTCCTGGTGGTGCTCAGGGGACCATATGGGAGCTAGGAATCGAACCCAGGTTGGCCGCATGCAAGGCAAATGCTCTACCCGCTGTACTATCGCTCCAGCCTCTCATTTAAGTATTTTTATGAAAAAAAAAAAAAAGGAGGCGGCGTGAGCACAGCATGTCAGGCACTTGCCTTGCATACAGCTCATCCAAGTTCAATCCTCAGCACCACATAGTCCCCTGAACAACTTTTTTTGGATAAGTTGAACCATGAACACCATTTAGATGAAATTTTTAAGTCTTCAGATACTTAGTGAAAATTTCCAATTATTCACAAGTAGGCACTTTCATCATGACATAAAACAGCATAAGACAGTGGAATAAGAGAATACAAGTTCAATCAAATTGATGTAGTTCTAGTACAAAGGCATCCATCCTAACCAGGAAGGAAAACTGAGCCACCAAATAGGTTTTCCATTTTAAATCCAATTGCCAGTATATGGTTTTGAAGCTTAAAGTGATCAAAATATTTAATGAGTCAACTTCATGTTTTATGTAGAGACCAAAGCAACAGAAAACCATTACAAAGTCAGCACAGAAGTCATCTTATATATTTACTTAGTGCATGATAGAATTATTATATTAAGAAAACAAATGTAGCATTATAGAGGTAGTACAGCCAGTAGGGAGCTTGCCATGCATGCAGCTGATCTGGTTTCGAACCCTGATACCCCACATGATCTCTCAAGCTCTTTGTGAGCACCACTGGGTGTGGCCCCCAAATAAAATAAAAGCCAAATGTAGATCTTCTATATACATTAAAGCTTTCACTTCTGTTCCTAACATGTTCATGTTTAAAATAATACAAATAAACATCCAGTAAACAGTATTTTATTTATGACACTCTGTGTTAATACAATAAATATACAAAACTTCCAAAGCACTGAAAACATGCAACATTCGAGGGACGAACATAGGGCATTTCTATGAGCCAGGACAGTCACCAGGATGGCAGCGCAGCATTACTCACTGACAAAGAGAACAGCTTCCCTAGATAAATAATCTAAGTCCCAAATTACAAATCACTAAGCGATGATTTTCCAGTGTTCAAAGTTTAATCTGAAATAAAATATCCACAATTTCATATTGTAAACTGAAAACTGAATGATAAGAATACTTACAAGGTAAGGACCTTCCCAGGACTGTGATAGTGGGTAATTTTAGTATTAAATACAGAACAAAAAAAAAAAAGCTAATGCCTTATTTACTGAGTGGAAATATGACAATTACTGATTACCACTGAGAAGGAATTGAAAGCCCCTATGACTGATTAACTATAAGCCTTGTAATCTTTGTAATGCACATTTGCTTTTAAAAAACATAATTTTCACTCTTTAGCTTGAATTAACCCAAATAACTGGATTAAAACCACTTTCCCCCACCCATACAGAAAGAGTATAATTGGTGGTAATTATTCCTTACTATGTAACACTGCTACCTGTGGGAATTTCCATATAGTAAAACATTCTTTATCTGGAGGAAAGCATCTCAGTAATATTTCAGTTTTTGTATTTTTTACTTATAGCTTAGAAAAAAAAGAAAAATAAACTTGAAATATAAACTAATGGTAGATGTATCAGTGCTCTTGTATTTTGTGACTAGTGTTTTAAACATTTATAAAATCCACAATGAAGCACACAGATGAAAGATTTTCAATAAAATTATACAACTACCTTGGTTCAAAAAGTAGGTGGTAGGTATCAATGATTGGAAATAATCATAAAAACAACATTCTGAATTCTAGTATCTTCAGAATGAAAGAAAAAAATCCTAAGTATATTATTTCAATAAAGTCCCAAATTAAATGCATTCATCATCTGGATGGTTTTGCATTACCTGATGTATCAACAAAGCTTCTTTCATAAATAATGAGAAATCACAGTCCTACCTCCCAGTTTGGAACTCTTCTAACCTCAAGATTCAAGGTGAATGAAGTGACTTAACCATTTGTGACCATCTGATTTTCTGAAACAATCTGAAAATTTCAATAATGTGACCCAACCCACTACTCTTTTAAAAATGAAATTACATAAATCATTTATCATTCTGCAATCTTTAGCTGATGACTTATAAAACAGAAAATTTTACAAGTGTCTTTAAATAATCAGTATTAAAAATGTTTCAAACTTTCTGAACTTCCATACTTGCACAGCAACAATTTTGAGATGATTCTACTCATATTAATACATCCAACTGAATCTGTATCTTCTTTTTTGGTGCAAGTTAATATTTTATTTCTCCACTGCTGAAAAATGTTAATTATTCGGTCTGTCTCAAAAATAGACTGAGGTGTGTTAAGGATTCAATTATATGTAGAAAGCCAAGGTCTTTATTTTTAATGCCACTAGAGCTGAGAAACTAAAAGATAAATCTCTTAAATACTGTATGTTCTTTTTGGACAAATAATTAGGCTAGACTTTAATACCTGTTAAAAATTACATACACCTCCAAAAAGAGCTGCCAAACACAATCGCAGTTCAATGAAAAAGAGTAACCACAAGAATACCAAAGTATCCATACAATAATATTTTTACTATGATATGAATACTGAAAAATTTTTTTAGAAAGGTATTATCACTACAATCTATTCCATCAATTAACTACCTTTTCTTTTGGATAATGCACTGCGTATGCTATATTCTCATACTGCATCCCATAGAATTTTTAGTTAGATGAAACTATTAAGAGAAAATCATTTCTGTAGTCCTATAAACACCTTTTCAACCCTACAACAAGCAGTGCAGAACCCAAAATGCTAATTTTAGTTTAAGAAACATGGTACCCATGCAAGATCAGAGACTGATATCAAAATACCAACTATTCTAAAAAGAAAAAAGGAAAGGAAAATAAAATAAAATAAAATTTATATTATCTGCTATGAAATGCACATAGGCTCTTCAATGGTGACTGAGCTGCTGAAAAGCAAGCGGATGTAAAAATCTACAAGTCTCTGGCAGCCTATTTCTTTCAATATAAATATGAAAGAGAAATGAAGCTTCACTTTACTTCTTCAATGTGTAATCTGTGAAGTCTAAGATTCTGGAATGACCGCAGCTAGTACTAAAAGCATCTGTAGTAGGTATCATTCAGTGTGTCACCACTGAAATAATTTGATGAGCATTCATCCCCCAAAAAATATGGAGAATATTCAGCACGTAATTGTTTCCAGCAAGGGGCACTGAAAAGTCAGGAAACTTAGGTAAATAATAAGACAAGGAAGTTTTTCTGTTTTATCCCATGCACAAGTGAATAGGAAATATACATGCTGTGTGTGTGTGTGTGTGTGTGTGTGTGTGTATTGAACATAAAAATATTTATAGAATACAGTAACTCGAGAAAAAAGTACAGTCAAAAGTTAACAGTGTTTTGTCTGCCGATTCTCTAAATCTGGTTCCCCTTGAAAGCATTCTGAGCCGCACTAGTAGCTGCAGTTGAAGCTGCGTTTGCAGCTGCAGTCTGGACAGTTTTGTTGGACATCACACCTGTTGCAAACTCTTGTTGGGCCTTCTCAAAACTAGCACCTGTTGTCCGATATAGTCCATGTACCTGTGGAGCCACAAAAATAAATAAATAAATAAATAAATAAGAGATGTAATAGCAATCAAACTGTTCATTTTCAGTGACTCTTCAATTACTTAAAGTGCATCACTGCTCAGAAACAAGTGACAAGATTCTAGGCATGATTCCTGAGATGGAGAACACCAGCCACCATGGTGGCATGTGATACTGTATTTAAATATTTTAGCACAGGGCTTACCTTTTTATCCTCAATGCAGGAGAGATTAAATCATGCCAATACTAAACCAAACATAATTTAAATACTTCTTAACTACAAAAGCTGTTTTCCTCTGTACTTAACTAGTTATTTGGATAATACTAATATTTGGATAATACCAATAATAATAATAAGGAGAATGGCTTACATATAAAAAGACTATCTGCTTAAATGCCTGAATGACTTAAATTTACTACACTTGGACAAGTTCTTTTTTTTTTCTTTGATGTAAAACAGATTTTATTTGGAGGGTTTTAAGGTGTGGAAGGAGAGAGAGCAACATGCTCAAGAGAGAACGCAGGCTTCTCTAAGGGCAGAGAGAGCCCCTAGACACATTCCAACATTAGACACAAAAGCATGAAAGTACACATCTCAAGAGCAGAGATGCGGGCGACATATGTGTTCAGCCATGTGGGCACAAGCAGCACATGGGCTTGGGCAGCATATGCACCTACCTTAGACAATTTTAAAGAGAATTGTTGACTACGTATCTACCACTGACCTGTCGTCCCATAGTACCATTTCTAGTACCAAGCACTAATTTTGTTGTGCTTGGTACTTCACTATCTACTTCACTATCTACTCTTTATGTTAACTTGTGTATTGTCAACTCCTAAAGGATTTACAAAGAAATACTCTGGGAATTGTCTGTCTATACAAATTCATTACTCAAATCTTGCAATTTTCATGAAAAAAAAACAAAAGTAATCATGTTATTAGCTTTGAAGATACATCAACTATGAAGTTCATCAATATATAACATCAGCTGCTCAATTTAACACAGTTGAGAAAAGAAACACTAATAAAGCAAATCAGAACAAATATGTATGATATGTCTGCAAGCTCCTGAATGAAAGGCAGAGATAAATAAGTGAACTTGTAACTAGACTTCATTGTGATTGGATCCACATTCACATCCCACTTGGATCACAATCAAAGCGGTCTGGGCAGGTCTGGGGATGATCCAAGCCAGTCTAAGTTCAGCAAGTCAGTCCTTAAGGACCTAGAAATTGTGACATAAATGTGGAGAGTAAGGATAACAGAATGAGTAAGACTCTAAAGTTTGAACACCTGAGTAACTGGGAAGTCATTTCAAGAAGAGGCAGAGTTTAAATGACTTAAATTTACTAAGAAAAAGCAGAAGGCTGCTTTAGATGGGAAGGGAGATGTTCTAACCATCCATTCATCCCACAAATGGTTTTGAATACTTATATTCCAGTCAGGCAGATGACCATGGAGAGACATGGACCTGGAAACCACTGGCTCATAAATGGTAGAAGTCCTGATATAAACAGATCATGAGAAATACAGTAAGTTTTTAAAAAGGGCAAAAAGTCAAGTACAGGGGATTATTAAGCCATCAAATTTTAAGGGGCACGCACGATGAATGACTAGGAGAGGAACAGGAAAAAACAGAAAGTCACAGAAGACACGTCAATAAATAAAAAAAAGCCTTCCAATACATTTTTAAAAATACCTAGATAGCCCTAAGTTCTTCTTTTTTTTTGATAACCCTAAGTTCTTAAGATAAAATGGTGAAAGCAAACATTGCATTACCATGGACCAAAGTGCAAATGCTCAGAGAAAGAGAGCACTGACAAGCGTACAGACCAATAAACCCTAGAATTCTTTTTTCCATTATATTAAGTATGAAAGCTCTATTTTTAATCCCTTTACTAAACCAAATTGTCTATGAAAATTTAAAGATCAAGATAAATTACTATTCCGTATTCTCAAGAAATGTATCTTGCCATGAATGTACACAATTAGAAACGTTTCCTAGAAACTGAACAAACTTCTCAGTAGATCTGCTTACCATGCAAATTATTAACCAGCTCGCTGGTCTTCCTGTTTCCCCCTAAGTTTGTGGGTATGTAATAAACAAACACCGTTCTCATATGCTTTGTCATTTCTGTATCAAGTTTTATATTTATGGGCTTCATAGTTGATTTAAAATGTAGTTCACAACCCCACAGAACAGGGTGGTCAAGGTTCAAACAGCACACAACAGCCGGAGTCTTCACAGACTCAGAGAGCCATCTAGAGGAAGACTCTGCAAACGTGTTCTGTGCACAATTCCCTGTGGAGAGAGCAACTGCTCATTTTAGTACTCCAGGAAGACGCCGGCTGAACTGAAGAATGACATCTCAGAAACCTTCTCACTTCCCCCCTACGTTTGAGTACTGTAATATTCCTTTTGATATTTGAAACATTTCAGAGGGGGTGGGCTGGGATTTGTGGACACACCCAGCAGTGCACAGGGGCTACTTTTTTGCCTCTGTGTTCCAGGGCTCACTCCCATCAGTGCTTGGAGGACCATGTTAAACCACACATCAGACTGGGGTCAGCACCATGCAAGGCAAGCACCAAAATTCACATACTGTATTCTCTGAATCTGGAACAAAGTTTCAAGATAAAATAGGATAACTTTTAAATACATACTTGCTGTATTTTTTAAAATTTTTTTATTAGTGAGTCACCATGAGGTACAGTTACAGATTTACAAATTTTTGTGCTTGTGTTTCAGTCATACAATTCTCAAGCACCCATTCTTCCACCAGTGCCCACCCTCCACCACCAACGATCCCAGCATCCCTCCCACCCACCTCCCCACCCCGCCTCTGTGGCAGGGCATTCCCTTTTATTCTCTCTCTCCCTTTGGGTGTTGTGGTCTGCAGTAGAGGTTTTAAGTGGCCATCGTGTTCGAACTATAGTCTACTTTCAGCACACATCTCCCATCCAGGGCGGGTCCTCCAACCACACTTTACTTGGTGTTCCCTTCTCTATCTGAGCTGCCCTTTCCCTCAGCATATGAGGCCAGCTTCCAAGTCGTGGAGCAAACCTCCTGGTCCTTCTCTCTACTATTCTTGGGTATTAGTCTCCCATTCTGTTACTTTATATTCCACGGATTAGTGCAATCTTTCTATGTCTGTCTCTCTCTTTCCTAGGAGAATTATAGTAACCTAAATATTCAGGTCTCGGAGTGTCACAGAAAGGACACTTGATTTTCTTCTACCAATTCCACTACTTCCTAGGTGACTGGCCCACTTCACAACTCAGGTTGTGAACCTCCTATAAAATGAGTATTTACAGCCTTAATTTTAAGTGACAGAATAAAAATTAGGTGTTATGCTAATAAAATTAATTTTTGGCTATCTGAGTGTATCTCTGCCAGAATACACATGCAGCTCTAAAAGGCAATCTTGCCTCTGAAGGCATTACCACAAGTATTTCGCTGTGCCTGGGAGGATACAAGACACAAAGATGTATACATTGTGGGAACCAAAGAACCATGTTACAATGACTTGTGCATTGCTAGCAAGATGTAAGACACTGCTGCAGATCAGAAAATATTGTGGTGGTTCCTTGGAAGACTAAACATAGAACTATCATGTGATCACTGAGCAATTCAACTTCTAGATGATGTCTCAAATAACAGAAAAACAAACACTAAATCACTAATCATGGAGACTTAATTCACAACAGTAGAAACTATCAATAGATTAAAAACACAATGTGTATAGACATACTGTGCAATACGAGTGAGTTATAAAATGTAACAGGCAAAACACCACTGAATTATTCACATTAAATGGATGAGCTATTATAAATTATTTTATCTCAATAGAGCAAGTAGCCATATATAATAAAATTCTGATGTTTCATTATCAGACGGGTGAGTCTTGAAAACATTATGCTAGGTAAAATAAGCTACACTGTAGCACTTAATTCCATTGTGAGACTTGTTACTGTTTTTGGCATATCGAATACGCCACAGGGAGCTTGCCAGGCTCTGCCCAGCGGGCGGGATACTCTCAGTAGCTTGCCAGGCTCTCCAAGAGGGATGGAGGAATCAAACCCAGGCTGGCCTCATGCAAGGCAAATGCCCTACCCGCTGTGCTAGACATATATATTTTTATTCAACTTCTACAAAATTTTTACAATAAATGAAGTCACTGAAACAAGAAGGTAATTAGGGGTTACCAGCAGCTGGGAATGAGAGAAAGGAAGATCTGCTAGGTACTGACTGCAGAGCTTCTGTTGGAATGGTGAGAAGTTTTGGAAAGAGACAGCATAGTGATTATCATTAATATGACTGAACTGTAAAGCAAAATTATTTGTATATTTCCCAGTTTTTAACATATAATGTAACATGTAAAACACCACTGGACTGTTCACATTAAATGGATGAGCTATTGCATAGTATTTTAATCTCTATTGACAAAATATATAAAGATGATTCAAATGCAGCTATGATATGTAGATCATTATCAACAGATCTACCAAATTTGAAAGTATAAATAAGTGAAAATTATTCACAATAATTTCATTATATACTAGGTTTGGAAGCTACTAAAGTATCCAGGAAAGTGTAGCAAAATAAGAACTGGCAGTAATTTTTAAAAAGTGAAAATACTGGGACTGGAGCAATAGCACAGCGGGTAGGGCGTTTGCCTTGCACACGGCCAACCCGGGTTCAATTCCCAGCATCCCATATGGTCTGCTGAGCACTACCAGGGGTAATTCCTGAGTGCAGAGCCAGGAGTAACCCCTGTGCATTGCCAGGTGTGACTCAAAAAGCAAAAAAAAAAAAAAAAAAAAAAAAAAAAAGTGAAAATACTAAAGATATCAGCTGAAAAGAAGCTATAAACAAGATGATCAGAGTGTGAATTTACTAAGGATTTAAATATTACAGTATCGACTCTGTTCTCCCTGAATGAAAGCAAAGGCAGGCGGACCACCATTTGAATAGGCAAGGTGTGCCTACTGG